ACTCTTACACAATCCAGTGTTGTTTGTCTTCAAACGTGGCTTTCCCCTGCTCATTCCATTATTACCTATAAAAAGGACAGATTATCATTACCTAACACTGCTATGGTAACTTATATACAAATACCTGTTTGTCACCAAAAGTCAAAAAAGTAACCAGCATTGCAACTTAAGATGGATCATACAAAAGAAATTACTACCAGTTTACCTTATCTTATAATATTATGTGTTATTAAAATGAAAATGTAAAACAACACCAAAAGTTAAGTTGGGGCTATAAGTGTTGTGCAGAAAAGATTTCATATAGCAGGCAAGAGACTGCCATCTTTAGAAAGGCCTGCATGCAAGGCTGGCCCCTGACTGGTGTTTAGGAAATTGGAATTGGGAGAGTTTCCACCATTCCCTAAGGAGAGTGGCTCACTGTGTCTAAAGTGTTTATAGAAACAGTGTGGTTACTCTGAACAGCTGCTTTCCTTCTAGGAGTCTGGAATTTGGGTACATGTCACGGAGAGTAACCTCCACAGAAACACTTGGGTACTTAGTCTCTAATGAGACTCTGGTACTGGTAGATATCACTGCACAAATGTTGTCAAAATGTGAGCCTGGGAGAATTAGGCAGATCCTGGGAACTCCACAGGAGACGACTCCTGGAAGCTTGTGCCTGGTTTCCTCCAGACTTGACACATGCAAACAAACACCAAAAAGTTAAGTTGGGGCTATATGTTGTGCAGAAAAGATTTCATATAGCAGGCAAGAGACTGCCATCTTTAGAAAGGCCTGCATGCAAGGCTGGCCCCTGGACTGGTGTTTAGAAATTGAATTGGGGAGAGTTTCCACCATTCCCCTAAGGAGAGTGGCTCACTGTGTCTAAAGTGTTTATAGAAACAGTGTGGTTACTCTGAACAGCTGCTCTCCTTCTGAGTCTGGAATTTATGGGTACATGTCACAGAGAGAGTAACCTCCATAGAAACACTGCTTGGGTACTTAGTCTCCTCTAATGAGACTCTGGTGCACTGGAGATATCACTGCACAAAAATGTTGTCAAATGTGAGCCTGGGAGAATTAAGCAGATCCTGGGAACTCCACAGGAGAGAACTCCTGGAAGCTTGTGCCTGGTTTCCCTCCAGACTCCACACATACGCAACTGCCTTTTCCCCTTACTAATTCTGCTTGTCCCCTTTCTTGTAACTGGCAGATCTGAGTATGACTATTTCCTGAGTCCTGTGAGTCTTTCTAGTGAAACACTAAACCTGGGGGCGGTCTTGGGAAACCTTGATACAAATGCATTGTGTAAGACTTTTATGAAGTTGATAGGATATATGTAACTATAATCAGGTGGTTAAGCCACAGAATAGTTCCCTAATCTGTTTTTTCTTTTTTCTCTGATATTTGACTTGGAAAGTCTTTTTATATTTCTATATCTATACAATTCAATAAAGCCATAAAAGGAATAAATGAAACTATAACGTCAGAAAATAATGTGAAATGGCAGCAATCCTGTTTTTAACTGAATAAAAAATATAGAGAATCTAGGTGTGATTGGGACAATATGTTCTACAGTAGAATGTTTCTGTGAAAAATGAAAGGTGGTCAATTTTCTGTAACTCCACCGCTTAATTCTTTATAATAATTGCAGGCCAGGTGCAGTGGCTCACACTTGTAAATCCCAGCATTTTGGGAGGCTGAGGCAGGAGGATCACTTGAGTCCAGGTAGTTCCAGACCAGCTCAAAGTGGCAATAGAGTGAGACTCATCTATTAAACAAAATAAAACAAACAACAAACAACAAAGAACCTTAAAAGAATTTAGCCAAGTGTGGTGGTACATGCCTGTAGTCCCAGCTACTTGGGAGGCTAAGGTAAAAGGTGAAAGGATCAACATAAAGGCCATGAGCAGAAGCGCAGTGAGCCAGCACATGGCACCACTGCACCCAGTACTGGGCAACAGAGGGAGACTGTGTATCATAAATAAATAAATAAATAATTGTGTATCAGGCCAGATGTAACCACAAAAATTCTGTGAAGTCCCAGCTACTCAGGAGATGAGGTAGGAGGACTTGTTGAGCCCAGGAGTTCAAGGCTACAGTGAGCTATGAATGCACCAAATAACAGACACACGTATTCTAGCCAAGGTAACATAGAGATCCCATCTCCTATAATAATAATAATCATTAATTGTGCATCATTCAAGTAGTAATTCTATAACTGGAGAAAACATAGTACTATTGAGAATGTACTAATAGTCTACTACTGATCATAGAGTTCCTGTTTACTTGCTTCTCATCTTTTTCTGTGTTTCTCCTAAACCAAAACATGAATCATCCATTAAAGCAGTTCATCACAAAACAAGTCAAAAAGTCAAAAGAATTGCATCCAAACTGTATAGGATGTGTTGATCATCCAATCGCCTCTGTGAACAGTTGATTTGGTCATTAAGAACAGCAGGACTAACTTTGTGTTTGTGTGCACACGTGTGAACGTGTGTGTGTATGTGCTTATAAACTGTGTGTAAAACTATGACAGATAAACCATTTTGCTTGTGTAAGAATATGTAATATAATTTGTACTTCTCATGAAGGAATTGCTTTTCTGTCTTCAGCACGGAAGCTGTCTTCAAAATAGTCTCCCTGCCGTGAAGGGTGCACGCTGGTTCAGTTCTATGTCTTTTTTTTTTTTTTTTTTTTTTTGAGAGGGAGTCTCGCTCTGCTGCCCAGGCTGGAGGGAGTGGCGCGATCTGCTCACTGAAAGCCCGCCTCCAGGGTTCATGCCATTCTCCTGCCTCAGCCTCCCGAGTAGCTGGGACTACAGGCACTCGCTGTTTTATCATTAGCCAGGCTAATTTTGTATTTTTAGTAGAGACGGGGTTTCACCGTGCTCTCGATCTCCTGACCTTGTGATCCGCCCCACATCGCCTCCCAAAGTGCTGGGAGAGCCAGGCCTGAGCCACCGCCCGGCAGTTCTACAGTTCTTATTGCCATTTATTTATGGTACCAGAAAGAGATTGCTGAGTTCCTGGTTCTAAAGATAAGTTACTTTCTTTAGTGACACACATCAATAAATACAGTTTGGTCTTGAACAGCGGGTCCACTTATATGCAGATTTGCCTTTCTGCCTCACACCCAGAGAGACAGCAAATCCACCTCTCCTTTCCACCTCAGTTAATCAACCTGAAGATCATGAAGACCAAAGGTCAGCATCTAAGACTATGCTTTATGAAAAGTCAATATATCTTTCCCATGATTTTCTTTCTAACAGCTTCATTATTCACATTTTTATTCAAGAACACAGAACAGAGGACAATGTAAGGTAAAAAATAGGTGTTCGCTCATCAACTGTTTGCATATCAGGAAGGCTTCCAGCCACTAGTGGGCTATTAGTAGCTGTTGAAGTAAAAGTTATACTCAGATTTTCAAACTTAGGATCAGAGTCCCCTCACCTCACATTATTCAAGGGGGTCAATCAATTTTAATAACATAAACAATTTCTTATAAAACTGAAATGAAGATCCATTTGTATTACAAGTCCAATTGGTTATGGGCTGTGACTACAGAGGAAACATACAACATACTAAATTAAAAATCTTTTTTCTTATTCAAGTAAAAACATTATATAGGATTTAGGATCATAAATGACTTTTTCAGACTATAATGCTTGAGATTATAAATGAGCTACAAATATCTTTTTTAAATAAAACTGAATTTCAAACTAGTTAAATTTTAAAAATTAGCTACATATGTATATACATATATACACATTCAATTGACACATATTTTTAAACTGGTCTTTTTTGATTAACACTACCTTAATCTTGTCTTACTTTTCATTTTCTTTATCAAGAGCAGGACCACCAAGAAAAATAAGAAATTCACCATCAGAAGTCTTACCTGGTTTGTCATTTTTAAGTATCTTCTTTTTATGTTCCAAAATTTGTTGTTGCAATTCTATGTATACAAAAGTAATAAATAAAGTTGTTATTTTAACACTGAAATAAAAAATATTTACCAAACATATTAAATTCCTAAACCATTTAAGGCAATATCAGACCTAATATCAGAATTTTAATATCCCATACACTTCAAATTTTTAAACCTTACAAGCTTATTAAGCTTATAATTAAAGAATAAAAGAAAGGGAAGTACTCACAATGAGTGGAGAACAGCTCAGTAACTCTAGTTTGCTGGACATCATGCAGTGTCCTGCACTCAGAATACTCCTCGCTCTGTAACCAATAGGTATTTTCTTTTCAGACAAGTTGCTTCTGTAGACCCATGGTTTCTTCAAAAAATAAGGACTCTGTTACCTTTTGTAGATGTAATGATTACATGTTTAAATGTTCAGAAAATAGTAAGCAATGAATAATTTCTTCTTGAACTTGATTCCTGAAACCATTTTGGAATCCCAAATAAAGCTTGGTGTATGTTTTTCTCTAAGTTCTAATATTCAAATGTTGCAGTTTTCAGAAGATGTTATTAAGTGCTAATTTGGTTATTAGCTGTATTCATTGTGGCTTGTGGAATTCACCATTCATAACTTACTGCAAAATTTATATATATATATATATATTTCCTTTAATAAAATGGATTACCAATTGTCTCCCATCACTGAGTTCATCCATCACAATCAAGGGCAGAAACTAATAGGTGTCAAAACCCGGCTTGGACAACTACCACTCCTTCTCTATCTCCTCAAACCCCCTGAGCCAGCAGACCCATGCCAGATGCTGAATTTGCTGGTCCTCTCCAACTAACAGACAAGACAGAAATCCCGTTGTATTGTTTTTCGGTTCCATGAAGGAAAGGCGGACATTTTTCATTTCCAAGACATGTACTAACAACATGCAAATATCCCTAATTATTACTCAGCCTACTCCTTTCAGAGATCACTGACATCAATATTTTCATAGTGATAATCACAATTTCAATATTGGGGGGTATCCTGTTTTGGTTTCACTCACACTGCTTCCCTAGAGACCAACAAACAGTCAAAATGACCTTCCTGGGACTATACAAAATATGAATGCTTTCTGAATTCAAAAGTTATCCTGTGTGCAGCAGCCATGCTTATCTGCTCTGTATTGATCCAATTTTAAAATATGTGCTGTGGAAACAAGCACAAAGTTTGCTTGATACACAACCATGAGTCATGGATGAGGTTGAAGCTCGGTAAATCCAACTCACTTACTTTAGATTCTGAGAATTTATTGAATGGACTTGTGAGGTGGGAATTTTAAAATATATTGAAAACTTGAGGCAGAGCTACGAGTAGCCCAAGAGATTTCTCATGACTATAGACACATTGCTAGAGGGTCAACCGCAAGTTTGATCCCACTACTTGCTGGAAAGATAATATGGGAACCTTCTGCTATCTAACCAAAGCTTCTGCTCAGGATATAAAAAGCCTCAAGGTACAGATCTGATAAAGGAAAGGGAACTCTGATCTCTGCAACATTATTTGAAATAATCCTGACTGTGGGAGAACAATCCCAACCAATAGTGGTTAAAGAAAAGACAAACCATGGCTTTCAAAGGATAACATACCATGAAGGCCTAGGCTAAGTCTAGCTAAGAGGTGGCTCCAAAGAAGCTTCTTTAGTAAAGGGGCATCAACTTTTCTCAGTATTTGTGTGGGTAAAGCCAGGAGGCTCAGCTGGCAGAGCAGGTGCTGGGAACAACGACTGACCATGGGCACATAAACTAATAAACACCATAGCTTTGAACTCTATATATGAATCACCATGAAACTAGGGGGTCTTCGTAATCAGTGAAGGTGCATCCTGGTGGCAAAGGTCAGTCATTATCAGATTGCAGGGTGGGTTACAATGGCAGCAAAACAGCAAGCGAGTCCATGGAAACAACAGAATGATCAGAACCAGCCTTTTTCGTTCTTCTGACTTGTAAAGAAAGATTGTCTTCCTTGAACTTAGGGAACCCCTTAGCTTCTTGGAAAATTCAAAGAAGGAAGACACAGGAGACAGCTCCCGAGGCGACAACAAGATTTTCTGCTAAATTGGACACTTCAAGACCAATAACTAATTAGAAAAGTCAGGCCAGGCATGGTAGTGGGCGGCATTTTGAAAGGCCGAGGCAGGGAGGATTACTTGAGCTCAGGAGTTCGAGACCAGCCAGGGCAACAAAGTGAGACCTTGTCTCTACAAAATGAAGAAGAAGAAGAAAAGAAGAAAAGAAGAAAAGAAGAAAGAAGAAAGAAGGAAGAAGAAGGAGGAGGAGGAGGAGGGAGGGGAGGAGGAGGGAGGAGGAGGAGGAGAGAAAAGAAAAAAAAAAAAAGAAAGAAAGGAAAGGAAAGTAAGAAATCAAAGATGTGGCTCTTTTATCCCAGTGCATGGGGATTATACTTAGAACAAAAATGGACAACACTGAGGTCACTGGGGATAAAGGTGTTAAAAATCCTGAAAAAATCTTGCACTCTACTTTCAACTAACCTAGACTGCTGCTTAATTTCTGGGCTGGGGTGAATAACTCATTGCTATTTCAAACCATCTGAACTAAAACTATGAACTTTATCAAAAGATAGAGTAGTTGCAAATTATTTTAAACTTCAATTTAGTATCAACTGGTCTTTGACATAAACACTTACTTTGTCAAATGACAAGAAGTAGCGTAATCTTCTGCATCGCTAGCTCATCTATGTTTGAGGACATTACTTTTTCTTAAGAAGGATGCTGACAATACCTGGTGAGTCATGGTATGACAGCAAGCATGAGGGCTGTTCTAAAAATAACAAAGAAATAACTCCACTCAAGAACTTAATAAAGACTTTTTTAAACAATTAGTTTGATACACTTTACCACTTCATAATCCATCTGTCAGTGTAGATGTAATAACGATTTGCATGCACTTGAATTATAAGCACTAGGGTGCCTGGCACCATCTTTTGTAATTGATCACTAAAGGCTAAAAGAAATGGACGGGAAGTTTCTAACTCTGCACTGGCGGTGACATATCACACAAGTTGCTAATTTATAGTTCTTTGATGGCCAAGAAACTGTGCTGAGGTCAGTCATCTAAAGTAGGCAAAAATTTACATGAAGATTTCCCTATTGCTTTCCTACTCTGATATATTATAATTGTAATCAGCTAGGGGTCAGATAAGAGTTACTCCGCGGGCTGAAAACAACAACAACAACAATAATAATAATGACAATAGCAGTAGTCATAAACTAAAAGTCCACATTTTAAAAAAATTAAAAAACCTGCCAGGTGTGAGTGACTCTTGTCCATAATTCCAGCACTCTGGGAAGTCAAGGAGAACAGATCATGAGGTCAGCAGATCGAGACCATCCTGGCCAACATGGTGAAATCCCATCCTTGCCAAAAATACAAAAATTAGCTGGGCATGGTGGTAACACACCTGAAGTTCCAGCTACTTGGGAGGCTGAGGCAGGAGAAACGCTTGAACCTGGGAGGTGGGGAGTTGCACGAGCCAAGATCACACCACTGCACTCCAGCCTGGCAACAGAGCTAGACTCACACCCAAAAAAAAAATAATAAAACTAATAGCAAAAACCCTTTAGCTAATAAAAAGATTACAGTAACAAAACATCTGATTATAACAAAAATCTCATAAGAGAAGATTAATCCTACTATATCTTGAGCCTCTTATGTGACTCAGTCTAAATATTTGTGGTCTACCTGATTATTTGTGGTGACATTTTTCACTGTATGTCAATAATTACACTAATCTTATTAATAGTTTGACTTTGAGAGACTATTGGTCACTCAGGGAATACAGGCTTTTTATTTTTGAGCTACTTGCACTGTTCAGCCTTATCAACGGCACATGGTACGCTTAAATAGAAGTTCCACCATGTTCTCTTCACATCACTGTGCTTTAACAAAGACAATACAAGATTTTCTGCTAAATTGGACATTTCAAGACCCAATAACTAATTAGAAAAGTCAGGCCAGGCATGGTGGCTAGCATTTTGAAAGGCCGAGGCAGGAGGATTACTTGAGCTCAGGAGTTCGAGACCAGCCAGGGCAACAAAGTGAGACCTTGTCTCTACAAAACCACCATGTTCTCTTTCTTGCACATAACGGCGAATAAAAGTGGGGTATTATTGTCCTATAAGACAGCAGAAAAAATTAATAATTCACAAAATTACATATTTATGAACTGAACTGAAAATCTTCTCTAGGATTCTTTGAACTTCAACATACAATATAGAAAGGAAGTAAATGAAAAGCAGTCCCCTCCTTCTCACTCCTCTGCGCTTTCTGATGTGCTGCTCTTTGCCTTGCAAACAACCCTCCTCTGTCTCCCGGGATTAACTGTGGTCATTGCCAAAATTCACTGTCAACATTTACCAGTCCCAAGAATCCTTGCTTTGATCACAGCACTTAGCATGCTACATTCTAATCATTTCATTTTTTCCCTCTGAAATCAAGAGCTTCTTGAGGGCAAGGGCTGTATCTTTTGTCTCTATAGTCCCAAAACCCTAAGACATAGTAGCAAATATTTTAAGTTTTCTACATAAATTAATGAACTAAATTATTCTCTCTAAAGCAGTGTTTCTTAAACTATATTCCAAAGAATATTTGCTTTAGCAGAAGTATAATACCCCAAGAGAAAGATTCCATGACCTTCTGCATTTGTGAAGTATTACAAAATTGTATCTTACATCCAATAAACAAGAACTCTCTTGAATTTTACCTAATCCCCATTTCACAATACTATTTGTGGCAAATATTAACATTTAAGGAATTAAGAGTTTCAGAGAAACAGTTGCCAGAGCTTCCCAATACAGATGGAGGATTCCTCTGGGTGGTACAAACTTGCTTGATTCACTTCTATCAGTGGTGTCAGGATGCCAGACGCCAATGTCAGGCACTCCTGCTCCAAAGGGGTCACTATGGAAATGAACTCTGAATTAAGAGAGATTGGCTTCAAATGCACTTATTTGCCTTATAAATAGTCCATGGTTTTTTTCCTAATACAAGAGAATAGATTTTTATCTTTACTGTTAGAAAGCTCAGTATGTTCTGTGTAAGAGAGACAGGTTTAAAAAACTTAAGAACAAATATTTGAAAAACCAAAGCTCAGTAAGAAATACTATTCTCAATTATAATGGTAATCCCAGGACACTAATGCAGCTCTACTTTTTAAATCCATTTTTATTGGCTTCCACTTAAATGGCTATTTAAAATTATTTTTCATTTTAGGCAAAATATAAATCTGAAATAACAGCATAATGGCTTATCAATAAAAGTTCTCATACTGATCCATATGAATTATTTCTGGCATAATAAAACCAGTAAGTCACTTGCATTTTTAAAGGAGGGTGCTGAGGACAAAGATATAATATCTGCAATATTCATAAATTATCCAACTATAACCAGCAATAACCTAAAAAGGCTTCTAGGCATTCTTATGGGCAGATAATTATTTCTGGTATATATAAAGAAAAGGAGTTTTAAAAACTTCTAAATTCTAAAATTCAACTCCATAACAGAGGGATTTACATACTCCATAGACTATATATTACAAACAAATCTACACACTGACTTCAAAATCTTGAAATCTTTATCAAAATATACTATAACATAGGAGGTGTAAACTCAAATACTTACAAGGACAAAGGAAGGTTACCAGAGTAAGGGAAGTACTGAGGTGGGCACAATAGCAAACTGGGGAATACATGCCTTCTATAAAGGGGCAATCTCTGCACAGCAGACCAAACAGTGATAGAAACTCAGGAGACACCAGATTTGCCTTTTTAGGATAAGCCTGAAGTCCAGATTTCTACACAAGTCTTCTAAATTTTACATGTTGATTCAACTTATAGAGGCAAATAAACAAATCTGTGTACCACTTTAGAATATAGCCCTTGTGTTTTTATATTTACTATAAATGCGTTATGAAATGGTTGTGTATAATCCAAGTATTTGCATGTAAAGTATTTTCTTTCTCTAGTATCATATGTTTTACCAAAATATGAGGCACTCGTATATAATAAAAATTGCTAAAAAGACTCATAATACCTGCTTCAAGAATTTTTCCAACATTTATTCATTTAAAATATGTTTGTATATAATTTTCCCAGATTGTTAACCAAATAGATCATTGGTTCATAGGACTGCTAAAACTTAATTATTA